TTTTATTTCTTCTTTTTGTTTTTTTTTCGGATTTTGTATAAATTTAAATTGTTATAATTTGTGTCAACTCTTAAAATGGCCACACCACAAGAAATATCGTGTTGTGTACTGCAATTTGCTTCTTTTAACCTTAAAGTAAAAAACTTTGAACCTTTTCTTATCTAGTAATGTGTTGAATGTCTTTCCGTCTTAGCATTTGTTTTTATTGCATTTTTTAAATCTGCTCTTTCTTTGTTAATAGCCCTGTATATAAGCCTATATATAAGTGATGTAGAGTAGTTTTCACAGTGGAGGCTTGTATTTCAATAAGTCGTCCTAAATTAGGTTCGACGTACAAAACGTTATGAACTTGAAATAAGAGTTAATGACTTAGTTGTGATGGTTGGTACTTAAATGTCCGATATCGACTGACTCGCTCAACACCACTGAGCCCAACTGTCCGACCGCTACTACTACTACTACTTCTTATGTGTGGGAGAGTCTATTAATAATAGAATAGGTACGTCAGGTATTACAATAAGGGAAGACAGAAGAACCTATTTGAATTACTAGGTAAGATCGACTACTACGGGAAAGATATAATCTACCACGTTTATTCTGAACAAACTGTCTGCGGGCAGATGAGGAAACGAGTTAAACATTTACATAACAATCGAATGGCGTGTAAAGAAGGATGCATTTGTTTGATCTACATAACTGTACTACTGTACTGTACTGATGCGGCATTCACCCTGGGCGGATTGAGCCGGCTTCTTCCTGTTATGAGAAGAAGATTCTTGGGATAAATTACAGAAGTAGGGTACCCAGGCCTACTCGAATAACGTTCTTGCTTGCCGCGGGATTCCCACAGACGCAGAGACAGGAACGACCAGAAGCCGCCGGTTACCGATGCAGACGCTCCTTGGATTTTCACCAGAGCCCTTGTTAGCCGGCGTGTGTGTCAGACCTGTCCGCCTTGGGTGGCCCTACCAGGAACGAAGTTCCGGACGGCATAGCTCTGACACTACCCCTCCACCGACTCTGAGGTAAGGGTTGGACTTTGGGGGCTTACAGTACCAGGTGTTCCCAAGCGGTCCCCCATCTAAGTACTGACCTGGCTCTACGATGGTTAACTTCGGTGATCGAACGAGAACCGGTGTTTCAGCGTGATTTGACCGTACATAACGGTACTATCCGAAGGGTAGTAGAAAATCTACCAGATTTTACTATCGTTAACAATTATCTTAACAACAGAGAATGCGCAGGTGACACTGTACTAGTGGTGGTCTCAGAAGGAAAGCTAATAGAACTCCTAGGGAAAAGAAAACGAGAAGAAAGGACTAAGCATAAACTATAATAACACTGAATGTATGGTCTGTGAAATGTGAGGCAGCCAACAGTAATTGGAGTTATCTGAATCATGCAGCTAGACAAATTTAACTATCTGGGTAATGTAATAACGAACGACGAAAAATGTGACACTGAAATCCGAAGATGCGACGAAATTAGTAAAGATGTCTTTCATAAACTAAACAAAGTAATAAGACACAGGAAATATTCGAAGCGGTTCAATAGATGAATAATGAAAAAACTATATGTGAGCAACGAGGACGTTCTAGGAAGTAGAAAGAGACTCACAATTAAAATAAGAAAGAATGGAATGTTCAAGAACACGTTATAAGGAAGGAAGATTCGATAAATTGAGTATTCAAAAGATGTACTGAGATTGATTGAATGGTTTTCTTTTTTTTTTTTTTCTTTTTTTTTTTTACCAAAAGTTCGGTCAAGAATCCACTCAAGAAATGCTTCGCCTGTCTTAATGTATGTTTTTGACAATTGCTTCCTGTTTTTTTTATTTATTTTTATATTAACTGTCTCATGTTCAGTCAGTTATGTGCCATGCGTGATACGCACTTAGGCGATCATGTATCTTTCGATACATGACTGACGAGGCAGATTTTTTCCCGTGCCTCAAGAGAATATTGGGCCCCAAACTCACACCCGACCTCAAGTGGAACTCCTATATACGATCCATCGCTAAAAATACCCGACTCCTCATTATTATAAGAGCCAGATCAGGCCGAAAATGGAGTACTGTTGCCATATTTGTTTTAGAGTTACCCAGACCTCACTTTAGTCTCCAAGTCCTTGTGGGAGAAGAATTATTTTCCACACTCCTAGCTCTCTCTCTCTCTCTCTCTCTTTCATAGGCGGGACGTGGCGAGCCTTTCACTGCTCTATCGGTACTTTTTTACGGTTTATCAATTGTTTTCAGGTTATTTAAAGCCAGAAAATATTTTTAGATTGTAAGAATTTTTCTGTTTTCGGGGATAATAAATGGTTTTAGTGATACAAGTCTTACTAATTAACCCATAGGTTTGGAAAGAAGTGGTTGGTTCATACCATTCCCAAAGATATTTGCGCGTAAGTTAATATTACGATCCCAACTGGAATTGGAACTCGGCTCTCCGATTCACAATTCCGAGACATTATCCATTACACCACTAGCACATTCAATTTTACGGAACTTGGTATGCCCAAGCGGTCACCCATCTAGGTACTGAGCAGGCTCGATGTTGCTTAACTTCGGTCATCGTACAGGAACCTGTGTTTCAACGCGATATGGCCTCCGAAATAATGAAAGAAGTATCAAGACAGGAAATTTCGTTACAACCAAAGAAAAGAGTGCTGGACTGATATGGCATATCAGTCCAGCCATATATACCCTCCAGTAATGCAGTGAATGCAGGATAATTAGTCGGAGAGAGAGAGTGAAAGAGAGAGAGAGAGGGGGAGAGAGAGAGACAGAGAGAGAGACAGGGGGATGATTCTACAAACGAATACTGAGAAAACTATATACATAAGCGACGAAGATGTTCTAAAAGTAGAAAGAAACTCACAATTAGACGATACGCATAAGGAAGGACGGCTCGGAAAATTGAATACTCAAAAGATTTATTGAGAGTAAGTGGTATAGAGGGAAACAGCAAGCAGCTTACCTAAATGAATATATATGAATGAATGGCAAGATTAGCGACAATGAATGGTAACGAGTCAAACCTTTCTTAGAACTGCAAGTAACAAAAAATTGTGGAAAATCATGATCGCCAACGTCTTTACTGTGGAGTGATTTGTTTTTTTATGAGTTACCAACCCCTTGTAAGTTATTTAAAGCTGAAACATTTTATTTTGTGAGAATGATAATTCTTCTTCAAGCGAGTGAATATTGAATTAAAATCTTTTTAGAATGACAATGTTTAATAGGATACAAGTTTTACTATTTAACCCATAGCTGGAGAGAAATTGATTTACACATTTCATAAGAGTATTTGCGGGTAAGTGAATGTATTGAACCCATTTGGGATTCGAACTCGTCTCCCCGAGTCGGCATCCATAGGAAAATAAGTATTTTTGTAAGCTAATGGATTTTCTTTATCAGTCTGACAGATTTTTATCACTTTAAATGTTATTTTAACATCAATATGCTGGAGACCTCATATTTTCTTTAATAATATTTCTCGAACATTCAGGCCGGTAGACGAAAATAAATAAATAAATATACTGTTTAATAAATAAATGAAGCGTCTACTAAAATATGTGTTGAGGGGTTCTCCCCTTTTTACACAAATGGACTCACCCAGGGTATACGTATCCTACTGCTAGTGAATACCCGAGGGAAGAACGAGAAACGAGCGAGCGACGAACGAGCTCGAACCAGAACGAACGAGCTCGAACCAGAACGAACGTAAGGAGCAAGAGCCACAGTGAACAAGCACGTAGACTCAGTAAGAAGTCATACAGTGAAACGTCGATACCAAAGACTCTATATATATTTTGCTACTAACCCGCATTCCTGGAACTACTAACCTGCATTACCAGTTTGTATTATTACGTTAATACATTTATTTTCCTATATATAAGCGTTTGGCGTTTGTTATTTATTGGTACCGGATTTCATCCCGGATCCACAACAATATGGAAATCCACTAAAAATAACGTTTCAAGTGATAAAAATATTACAAAAAAAAAAAAAAAAAGAAGGCTGGAGTGTTCTGTCATATGTATCCTTCTGTATGACAGTGAATGCTGGACAATTTTTCCTTTTTTAAATTGTGAGAATGATAATTCTTCTAGCGAGTGAAAAAAGCATTAAAATCTTTTTAGAAAGACAATGATTAATAGGATACAAGTTTTACTATTTAACCCATAGCTGGGGAGAAATTGATTTACACATTTCATAAGAGTGTTTGCGGGTAAGTGAATGTATGGAACCCATTTGGGATTCGAACTCGTCTCCCCGAGTCATACGTCGATACCAAAGACTGTATATATATTTTGCTACTAACCCGCATTCCTGGAACTACTAACCTGCATTACCAGTTTGTATTATTACATTAATACATTTATTTTCCTATATATAAGCGTTTGGCTTATATATAGGAAACGACAGAGCCATGGTTGGTTCTAGAGACAAAGTGCTAAGAATACCATGGCCAGAGCGTGTGAGCAATGAGGAAGTTCTAAAAAATAAGAACTAGAGAAACATTAAAATCAGAAAGAGCCGGTTGATTTTATTCCTCACTCCCAGCCAATATCCACTTTTTGAAGGGAAACGGTATATAAATGATGAGACAAGCAGAGAAAAATCCTCAATATATTCGTTGCTCGAAAAAGTAAAACTAAGTGTCAGAAAGTTCGCGGTAGCATACTGTTTTTACAAGTAAGATATCTGCCATCTTATATCACGCAGCTTTTGAGAGATAAACCGTTGCCGCTCGAGTGGGAGTAGCGTGAATTTGCTGATAAGATTAATCGACGTCAACCATTAGAAATGCCAGGAATAATCATATGTGAAACGAAGCGGGAAAATTTAATAGAAACCGAAGATTTTTTAAAAATGATAACGCGAAGAAACCGTTGAAAAGAATCGAGATGCCTCTTTTGCTTTTTATTAGGCACTGAGGTAATTATCACGTCAGTCTGTAATTTGGCCAGACCACAAGAAACAGGGAAGGCAAGATGAAGGCAAGTAAAAATAGGAGATAGACAGACGGTAGAAGTCAAGGAAGATAATAGACAGATAAATCAGTGTTGCTAAAAATAATAAATGGCATGGGGGGTGGGGAATAAAAAAAATAAAATCTAATTCTTTAGAAATTGCCTTGTTTTCGTTTCGGATAGGAAATTGAGTAGATATGGCTTTCAAGAAAATCTAAACGAGAGATTTAAGGCAAAATGGAAAGTTTGCTTGACCATGATGTCTTCTGCAGCCGAGTGGTCAACCACTCCGTATTATATGGTGCTTCTTCCTGGAAAGAAGGCATAAGTTATAATCGGAAGACACATTTTCTTTATCTAAGTTTCCGGAGTGCGCAATAATAATAATAATAATATAATAAATACAGAACGTGTTCACAAATACGGGTACCCACTAAAATAACGTTTGAAGTAATAAAAATATATCGAATTAAATATTGGGTTGGTGCAAAAATAATGACGTAATAATGTCGTTTTTTGACGTATTTTTTTAACGTCAAAAAACGACATTATTACGTCATTATTTTCGCACCAACCTAATAATAATATTATTTATACATATTAAAGCAATTGAAAGCAATTCAACGAATCTAGAAAAAATGTTCAACAGACTGAAGAAAGCAGGCCATTTCGTCCTATTTTGCGACTCGTCAGTAGTGCGTCCCCACAACACAGAATCGAACCCGGACCGTTACAACGCAAGCGTATATCTACTGGACCAAAGGGTCTAAATGATGTAAAATTAACTAACTAGACTTTATATATATATATTTCTATCACACGTTCTGTCTTTAGTAATTTTTTCCAACTTCCGACTAAGCTGTTTTATACAAAAAGTAAACTTCCAATTTTTTTTTTAATCCAACTATTTTCTTTCGTCTGTCACTACAGAGGATTGCTGCCTAAATATGCAAAATATATATATATATATATATATATATATATATATATATATATATATATATATATATATATATATATAATACAGGTTAATGTCTTTTTGGTTTAATTAACCCCTACTAAGCTGGGATGCTGTAACTATTTAATCTATTGTTATTATTAAATATAAGATAGAACATTTCGGGAAAAGAAAATCCCTCTGGCCTGAAATGATCTAGTAAATCAGTTTTAAAAAGGTAAGCAACCTGCAATTTTAGTCCTTTCTTCGCAATCTTCTGGGTTGCCTGAAAACTTTGGACTATATATATATATATATATATATATATATATATATATATATATATATATATATACTTTAAAAATCAGGAGATCAGTTGAATTCGCTACCTTGGTTTCAACCTTACGGAATCCTCAGGCCATTTTTATCAAATGACCTCTTAACGCTTTATTTATTTATTTATTTTTTACTAATGAACGCTATATTATTAGTAGTAGTATTAATAATAAATAAACAAACGCACGACGTTGGGTGTAATAGAAAGGGTGAAGGAGGATGTGAAGAAGGCAGGAAATGAAGAAGAAGGGGAAAGAGAAGAAAATCAAGGGTATTATAAATGTATCGTTGGGGGTTAATTGAAATTGTATTTTTTTTACCCAGCCTCATATGTGCTTAAGAGGAATTTCCTAATATGTGAGCGAGGACTCAAGGCATGGGATTTCTGATTAGAAAGGTTCTTTGGATCCGGAAATATCATTATTTCTAAATTTTCCTGCTGGCAGAGGTTGCAAATATTGTTGTAGTTGTTGTAAGAGTTCGCGTTTTAAAAAAAATCCACCTTGCAATCGGATCCCTGTTGTTTTTTTTTCTTTGTTATATTTAAAAAACCAAAAATAATAATATAGCGTTCATTAGCTTTTTTTTTAAAAAAAAAATAAGCATTAAGAGGTCATTTGATAAAAATCGCCTGAGGATACCGTAAATAGGTAGCGAATTCAACTGATCTCCTGATTTTTAAAGTTAAAAGCTTTACATGTTATTTTGACATTTATTTTATCTTTTCACACGTGTATTGAGCACTTTTTAATACTACTGTTTACTGGTCTGATTCAACTCTGACTGACTGTAATCCATATGATGAAACTGTAAATAACAATGTTTATGATGAGCTCTTTACATCAGATGGCGATGATCATAGTAATTTCGAAGGGTTTTAATTATGTATGTGGGTCTCTTACGTTTGTATTAGTAATGAGTGTTACAAATTCATGAAGGTCGTCTTCGAGTATAGAATCCAGAGGTTAGCAGTGAATATTTCGCAGACAGTAGGAAAGCGTAGTTCAGGTTCGCAGTGGATATCGCAGCAAAGTAGCAGAGCGTAGTTCTTCCTTCTGTCATCTTCGCCTGTCAAGTTAGCACTGGTCATTACGGTAGGATAAACAAAGATGGCCGCCTTTATACACGACGGATACAATGTTCTGCGGCTTCTGATTGGTTAACCTTCTATTGGTAGGCTATAAAGGGAGTTAAGTCATTTTGACTGACTCACTAGTTACATAACATATGCACAAAAACTGTAACAATGAGGAATAAAGATTTTATGACGACTTTAATATTTTGTTGCTTAACGCCGAAAAAATACCGTATAATGTATGTTATTGAAGAATAAAGTTTGCATGTTATACTAAATGTTGTT